TGCTGTGCCAGTCAGAGTCTGTCATGGGTCCTGTACGGCCTCCCATTGCTGCTGTCTCCATGCCCACACTCTGCCATGTGCCACTTTCAGGTCTCTCACACTGCTGGTGTGTTGAATTTTTTGACATAGGGTGCTGGCAGATTACGGGCTCCCATATAGCTGCTGCCCAGGCCCCTAATCTGCCATAGGCCCTTTATACGCCTTCCTCATGCTGCTGCCAAGTCCAGAGTCTGTCATGGGTCCCTGTAGGCCTCCCCATTGTGCTGTTCCATCGCCAACACTGCTGCTGCAGATTAGGCCCGACTTTCAGGTCTCCTGCCACAGAATTTATTCTGCTGGTGTGCTTGAGATTGGGTGATTTTCTTGTGAGGTGATATTTGCCAAGTAGGCTATAGGTCTCTGCTGTGCGGCAGATTACGGGCCTCCCATAGTAGCTGCTCGAGTCTGTCCAGGCCCCCTAATCTGCACATGTGCCCCTATTTTAGGCCTCACTGTGCTGTGTGCCATTTTTTGACTCGGGTGCTGGGCAGATCATGGGTCCCTGTATACGGCTGCCGTGCCATTTGCCATGGGCCCCTGTACCAGCTCCTCATGCCTGCCACCCCCCCACCTCTGCTGCCATGTGCCACTTTCAGGTCTCCTCACACTGTGGTGTGTTGAATTTTTTGACATAGGGTGCTGGCAGATTAACGGGCCCCCATAGTGCTGCCAGGCCCTAATCTGCCATAGGCCCCTATATACCGCCTCCTCATGCTGCTGCCAAGTCCAGAGTCTGTCATGGGTCCCTGTACGGCCTCCATTGCTGCTGTCTCCATCGCCACACTCTGCCATGTGCCCTCACACTGTGGTGTGTTGAATTTTTTGACATAGGGTGCTGGCAGATTACGGGCCTCCTATAGCTGCTGCCAGGCCCTAATTGCCCTAGGCCCCTATATACCGCCATCCTCATGCTGCTGCCAGTATACAGAGTCTCTCATGGGTCCTGTACGGCCCTCCAGAGTGTCTCATGCCATGTGCCACTTTCAGGTCTCCTCACACACTGCTGGTGTGTTCAATTTTTTGACATAGGGTGCTGGCAGATTACGGGCCTCCCATAGCTGCTGCCAGGCCCCTAATCTGCCATGGGCCCCTATATACCGCCTCCTCATGCTGCTGCCAGGTCCAGAGTCTGTCATGGGTCCCTGTACGGCCTCCCATTGCTGCTGTCTCCATCGCCACACTCTGCCATGTGCCACTTTCAGGTCTCCTCACACTGCTGGTGTGTTGAATTTTTTGACATAGGGTGCTGGCAGATTACGGGCCTCCTATAGCTGCTGCTGCCAGGCCCCTAATCTGCCATAGGGCCCTATATACCGCCTCCTCATGCTGCTGCCAGGTCCAGAGTCTGTCATGGGTCCCTGTACGGCCTCCCATTGCTGCTGTCTCCATCGCCACACTCTGCCATGTGCCACTTTTCAGGTCTCCTCACACACTGCTGGTGTGTAGAATTTTTTGACATAGGGTGCTGGCAGATTACGGGCCTCCCATAGCTGCTGCCAGGCCCTAATCTGCCATAGGGCCCTATATACCGCCTCCTCATGCTGCTGCCCAGGTCCAGAGTCTGTCATGGGTCCCTGTACGGCCTCCCATTGCTGCTGTCTCCATCGCCACACTCTGCCATGTGCCACTTTCAGGTCTCCTCACACTGCTGGTGTGTGTTGAATTTTTTGACATAGGGTGCTGGCAGATTACGGGCCTCCCATAGCTGCTGCCAGGCCCTAATCTGCCATGGGCCCCTATATACCGCCTCCTCATGCTGCTGCCAGGTCCAGAGTCTGTCATGGGTCCCTGTACGGCCTCCCATTGCTGCTGTCTCCATCGCCACACTCTGCCATGTGCCACTTTTCAGGTCTCCTCACACTGCTGGTGTGTTGAATTTTTTGACATAGGGTGCTGGCAGATTACGGGCCTCCCATAGCTGCTGCCAGGCCCCTAATCTGCCATAGGCCCCTATATACCGCTCCTCATGCTGCTGCCAGGTCCAGAGTCCATGGGTCCCTGTACGGCATCCCATTGTGTCTCCATCGCCACACTCTGCCATGTGCTCCTCTCACACTGCTGGTGTGTAGAATTTTTTGACATAGGGTGCTGGCAGATTACGGGCCTCCCATAGCTGCTGCCAGGCCCCTAATCTGCCATGGGCCCCTATATACCGCCTCCTCATGCTGCTGCCAGGTCCAGAGTCTGTCATGGGTCCCTGTACGGCCTCCCATTGCTGCTGTCTCCATCGCCACACTCTGCCATGTGCCACTTTCAGGTCTCCTCACACACTGCTGGTGTGTTGAATTTTTTGACATAGGGTGCTGGCAGATTACGGGCCTCCTATAGCTGCTGCCAGGCCCCTAATCTGCCATGGGCCCCTATATACCGCCTCCTCATGCTGCTGCCAGGTCCAGAGTCTCTCATGGGTCCCTGTACGGCCTCCCATTGCTGCTGTCTCCATCGCCACACTCTGCCATGTGCCACTTTCAGGTCTCCTCACACTGCTGGTGTGTAGAATTTTTTGACATAGGGTGCTGGCAGATTACGGGCCTCCCATAGCTGCTGCCAGGCCCTAATCTGCCATAGGCCCCTATATATACCCTCCCTCCTCATGCTGCTGCCAGGTCCAGAGTCTGTCATGGGTCCCTGTACGGCCTCCCATTGCTGCTGTCTCCATCGCCACACTCTGCCATGTGCCACTTTCAGGTCTCCTCACACTGCTGGTGTGTAGAATTTTTTGACATAGGGTGCTGGCAGATTACGGGCCTCCTATAGCTGCTGCCAGGCCCCTAATCTGCCATGGCCCCTATATACCGCCTCCTCATGCTGCTGCCAGGTCCAGAGTCTGTCATGGGTCCCTGTACGGCCTCCCATTGCTGCTGTCTCCATCGCCACACTCTGCCATGTGCCACTTTCAGGTCTCCTCACACACTGCTGGTGTGTTGAATTTTTTGACATAGGGTGCTGGCAGATTAGGGCCTCCCATAGCTGCTGCTGCCAGGCCCCTAATCTGCCATGGGCCCCCCTATATACCGACTCCTCATGCTGTGACGTTGCAACAAGGTGGAATTCAACCCTACATATGTTAGACCGCCTTTACGAACAGCAAAAGGCCATCACAGATTTCCTGATGTTAAAAGCGGATAAAGGTATTCCTGTGTAACTTAGATGTCAGCCATTGGCAGCTCATGCGTGACACCTGCGCTTGCTCAGGCCCTTTGAGGAGGCCACGCTATTCGTGAGTCCGGCCAGGACTATGGGATGAACGACGTCATTCCTCTGTTGCACGTCCTGGAACAAATGCTGTTAACAATGGCTGGTCAGGGTGCGGTAGACGTGGCGCACAGATCTCAACGCCACATGACCCCTGTGGGGGGCAGGACAGGAAGAAGAGGAGGAGGTAGAGGGAGGACATTGGTGCTCAGGAATTATTGAGTGAAATGGGTGGTTTTTCCACTCAGCGGACAGGAGTGGAGGAGCAGGAGCATCTGGTAGAGGAGGAGGAGGAGGAGACAGAGGACCCAGACGCACCGTGGCAGTATGCTGTGGAGATGGAGGCAGGGAGTCCCTCGCATTCCTTGGCACAAATGGCCCATAGCATGCTCGCTTGCTTGCTTGCGTAGCGACAGCCGAATAATAACCATCAGACAGAGGGATGACTTTTGGCTGTCCACCTTGTTGGACCCTCGCTACCGTTCAAAAATGGTGGCCTTTTTCACACCTGCTGAGAGGGAGGCCAAAATAACGTACTATAAAAACCACCTATGTAGTCAGCTGGTCTCTGCCTGTCTGCGCCAACGTCCATCCTCAGACACTGTGGGCCCTGTGCGCTCGCGTTCCGCTGCCATGGCAGCAGGGGAGGGGTGTGGGGTGTAGGAGCAGTGGCAGCTCCACCAGCAGCGGCTGCCTCAGTCTGCAGTCGATGATGAGTAGCTTTCTTCACCAGCGCAGTGAGGAAACTACTAACCAGCCGCAGCAGCAGCAGCAGCAGCAGCAGCAGCATCAGGTGGACCTGGAGCAGGACCTCAAACAACAGGGCTTAGGCCTACTTGGACAGCACCCTGCCAACCGAGGTAGACAATCCCTTGACTACTGGGCAACGAAACTTGACCTTTGGCCCCAACTAGCTGAATTTGCCCTTGAAAGGCTGTCATGCCCGGCCAGTAGCGTGGCATCGGAGCGCGTGTTTAGTGCGGCAGGAGGTATTGCAACTCCGCGGAGGACACGACTGTCCACCCAAAGTGTGGAGAGACTGACGTTTGTGAAAATGAATCAGGCGTGGATTAGTCTGGATTTCAAACCACCAGTTCCTGACACAACTGACTAAATCCGCCATGAATCATGCCCCAAACATGTGCCACTTTCAGGTCTCCTCACACTGCTGGTGTGTTCCATTTTTTGTCATAGGGTGCTGGCAGATTACGGGCCTCCCATAGCTGCTGCCAGGCCCCTAATCTGCCATGGGCCCTATACCGCCTCCTCATGCTGCTGCCAAGTCCAGAGTCTCTCATGGGTCCCTGTACGGCCTCCCATTGCTGCTGTCTCCATCGCCACACTCTGCCATGTGCCACTTTCAGGTCTCCTCACACTGCTGGTGTATTCCATTTTTTGTCATAGGGTGCTGGCAGATTACGGGCCTCCCATAGCTGCTGCCAGGCCCCTAATCTGCCATGGGCCCCTATACCGCCTCCTCTCATGCTGCTGCCAGGTCCAGAGTCTGTCATGGGTCCCTGTACGGCCTCCCATTGCTGCTGCTGTCTCCATCGCCACACTCTGCCATGTGCCACTTTCAGGTCTCCTCACACTGCTGGTGGGTTCCATTTTTTGTCATAGGGTGCTGGCAGATTTACGGGCCTCCCATAGCTGCTGCCAGGCCCCTAATCTGCCATGGGCCCCCGTACCGACTCCTCATGCTGCTGCCAGGCCCGTAATCTGTCATGGGCCCTGTGTTGTCGCTTGTTGGCATATTCCGCTCGTTCAGATGCTCCTTCTCCTGCTACTCCTCTTCACGGATTCCGTCAGCAGTCTTTCTTGGAATCCGTTTCCAAGAGACAACAGTTTGCGAGCACGCACCAGACGGTGCAGAAACTGAACGTCCTCCTGTCCAAGTTGCTGCTGCCAGGCTTGTAATCTGTCATGCGCCCCTGTACCGCCTCCTCATGCTGCTGCCAGGTCCAGAGTGTGTCATGGGCCCCGTACCGACTCCAAATGCTGCTGCCAGGCCCGTAATCTGTCATGGGCCCCTGTACCACCTCCCCATGCTGCTGCCAGGTCCAGATTGTGTCATGGGTCCCTGTACGGCCTCCCATTGCTGCTGCCAGGCCTGTAATCTGCCATGGGCCCCCCTACCGACTCCTCATGCTGCTGCCAGGCCCGTAATCTGCCATGGGCCCCTGTACCGCCTCCTCATGCTGCTGCCAGGTCCAGAGTGTGTCATGGGTCCCTGTACGGCCTCCCATTGCTGCTGTCTCTATCGCCACACTCTGCCATGTGCCACTTTCAGGTCTCCTCACACTGCTGGTGGTTTCCATTTTTGTCATAGGGTGCTGTATGGCCCCATTGCTGCTGCCTCCACCGCCACACTGTGGCTCCACACTCTGGTTTTGGCCCCGTGACTGGCCAAATGAGTGAAGTGTGCGGTGATTCTAAGATCGACGGCACTCATCTGCATGTCATACTGCCTGACAGTATTATTTCTCTTCCCCAGCAGACTCCAAGGGCATTTAAATTAAAGGTACAGTGTTCAGCACTAATATTAAGTCTCTCTGAAGCCTAGAAACGAATCGAATTTTTGAATACTTCGCTCATCTCTAATCACAGACTTGAATGAGGAGGATATCACACCCTCTATCAATGTCTACTCAGGCCCAATCCTATAAGTACTGACCTAGTGGGCAAATGCATCTCCAACCCCCATCCCAGTCTTCCTCCATGAAAGATGCCCAATAGAACTCCAACCAACTACCACAGATGCTGTAATGACAATTTACAACGTAATCCTCCATACTGGTCTCCAAGCAATGGGATGCCTAGTTCGGTCGTGGTCGGGCGACACCCTTTCATTTTTTTGTAGGGCGGAGCAGAGACACAACGTACAGCAGGGAGTATCATCTTCGGAGCTTCTGAGCAGGTCTGTCGCTTAATGCATGGACACCTCTGGGCCCCATGATAATTTTTCAGGGTTTACCAGGACAGTCATGTTTTTTACTAATCTGTCCTAGGATGGCAGTGGCCCGGAACCTGTACTGTGTCCTCC